GTCTCTGTCTGCCGTAAAAAATAATTTCCATTTTCCATTTCTTATATTTTAGTTCTCTTGTATTCTTTTTATTTATTTATTTCTATTTAATTTCTATTTAATTTCATTTTTATTTATTCAAATTCTTTTTCTTTTCAAGGCCCCGATTATTCTACTGGTTTCGATTATTTCTTTCGGCCTTACAGTCTCCAGTCTCCAATGGACTTTGCTTTCTTTATTCTGGTAGGAACTCGGTCGTTCGCGTGCTGTCTCATGTTGTGCTGCCCATGATTCTTCATCAAGACTGAGACCAGACTGAGACCAGACTGAGATCAGACTGAGATCAGACACAGCTTGCCACGACCATAGGCTGTTTGGTGTTCTGGCTTGTGGACCTCGACTTCTTATACTACACAAAGGGTTTAATACCGTGGTTGGGGGGTTTCCATTCTCATGACAAGCATTCCTTCATTGTCTGGAGCTCCTTTGGTGCGTTTAACTGGTGTATTCTGTTGGACCTGAAACAATGGTATTGCGTCACGTGCAAGCCGTCGCGACCACTGGTTTCTGGTCGTCGCGTCTTTTTTTTTTTTTTTTTTTTTTCCCAACCTTCTCGACCATCGCCAGAAGCACCACCAGACTTCAGGCAAAACACTCTCCATCCAGCTGTCTATATTTTCTTCATTAACATCTACTTCCATTGAGATTTACGCATATTTCGGTTTTTTATCCTTTTTTTATTTTTTTATTTTTTAAAAAAATTGCATTGTTACTGTTTTCCTCTCTATTTTGTTTTGTTTTAGAATCCTTTGCCCGCGTCTAAACCCCATACTCTCTTCCCATGTCCGTCAACGACAGATACACCTCCATTATGAACGATAGAACAAACGAGATCAACTCACGACTGCTACCACGGATCTCACTCGAGGCTCAGGCCAATCAGCTGCCACACCAGCAGCGCTACCTGTCGCCATCACAGACGACCCTCTCCCACACAGATCACGCTGCTCCCGACCACTTCAACTATCAACAGCCGCAAACCACTGTGCAGCAGCAGCAACAACAACAACAGCAACAACAGCCATACTCGTACGACACACCTCAGCCGTACTCCTATGCGCAGTACCCCTCCACACGTGTCACGGACTCGCCCAACCCCGACCCCTCGACGCTCGCGACGGCCACGCCCGATGGCACCGTGCCCGACCCGTCTGCAACCGCGGCAAGCACCCGGCGCCTACAGTACCCCACAATTGTGTCCAACTCGGACTTCTCCAACATGCCGCGGCCAATAAACACCTCGAGTATCACCTGCATTGACTGTGGCGAACAGTTCCCCACCACGACCATCTTGCGCCGCCACCAAAAAATTGACCATCACCGTCAAACCTACAAGTGCCGCACCTGTGGTGACCTTTTTGCCAGTAACGCTGACCGTCAAACCCACAAGAACAATACACATTTCAGTCTTATCCGGATCACCGTCAAAAACAACAATTTTCGCGAGTTCCCCGTGGGTACCGAGCTCACCTCTTCGCGCGACCCGTCGGGCTACTTTGTCTGCCCTGCGCTCTATTGCTCCTTTGTCACGCGGATACCGGGATATTGGAATGACCACATCAACACGGTTGAACATGCGGGCATTGATCCGCAGAAACGCAAGCGGAGAAAGGGAACTGCTGCTGCTACTGCCGCCGGCAAAGTGACTAAGTGAGCTCACTTCTTGTTGCTAGTGGCGGGAAAGGGGGCCTCTTTCCCTGACGTTTTAGGGACTAGTCGGACCGTGCTAGCCAATTCCTTTTGTTTTGATTGTGTTTGATGAATTCTCCTTGTTTTTTTTTTGTTTTTTGTGTTTGTGTCTTTTACTATCATTTTTATTTTTTATAACCTTTATTTCCTTCCACTTTTATGTGTTTATAGAATACTTCTACTATAATATATAAGGAGTCCGCGGGGAGCGCTCCCCCCAATCGGCGCTTCAGGTTTTGTGGCCGGGACCTGGGTTCATGACTTTAAAAATTATTGTTATTTTTTTTCTCTCAAAATTTTATTTTCTGAAGGGGGATTTGCTCTTGACAAAACGTCGCGTCAAAAAAAAAACAAAAAAACAACCAACCAACCAAAAAAAAAATCAAACAAATCAAGACCCTTAAAAGTGGTCATCTACTTAGTGGCAATACTGGTTGTATAACCTGATTTCCATAATTCAAACTAACCTCCATAAATGGTATATCTTGCTATAACAAGAAGTGGTAGTCAAAGTGTCCACATATACTTTTTTTTTTATTTTATTTTTATTTTTATTTTTTTTAATTTCTTTAATTTTATTTTATTTTAGCTAAACGGTGATGGCCGTTTCCTCAGAAAGTTAGTTAACATGGGAAAGCGAGAATAGAATCAGGTAGCACTGATTTCTCTTCCACATTCACCTTTCCCGCCAACTTGAAAACGTTTATTGGCTCAACCCAGAGGTACTTGGGAATTTTTTGTTGTTGTTGTTGTTGTTGTTGTTGTTATTGGTCGCATTGACTTTACAAAAAATTCTCTGGAGATACAAGTCTTCCTGAACCAAGGTTTATGTTTATTATCTCTTTCAAAAAAAAGAAAAAAAAAAGAAAAGGAAAAGTAGGATCTTGTACGCATCTAGATTGAATTCTGCGTTACTAATGAAAAGGTCGTATATATATAATGAATAGTCAAATCTATCATTACAATAAAAATTGTATAAAATAATAAGATGTGTTATGATAGAAGCGTTACTTTGGGTGAGTGTTGATAAGTGAGAAAACAACAACAACCCATTAGTATTTAAAAAAAAAGTCCAAAAAAGACAGACGGATGAATACCATATATTTGCTTTTTAGCTGACAAAAAGAGTTATTTCATATCTATTCCAATAATGAGAAAAAAGAAAAAAAAAACATGGGTATTATTACATATTGAATATTTTCTATATAGCTCTAGCATATATCTCAATGTGAATAACAAAGTAACACTCCCAGAGTGTACAAGAAAAGTTGGCATTCGATGGTGTCGACTTGTCAATGGGAAGTTTCTTGTGATAAGGGACATCTAAGATAAAAACCACATGGCAGTTCAATACTAAGAATTGACAAACAGCAAAGCCTCAATCTGCTATCTAATCAAGGAGACTATTACTTGTTCGTATATCACCCAACCAAGTCAAAAGTACGTTGGCACACTGTCCATTTTATTACTCATTTATTTAATTTTTATTTCATTTTCAGTCTTCTCAAATAAGTTAAATAGCCAAAAGTATAGCTACAGCACATTTTAGTGCCATAGATTTTCAGGGCTGCTTCATTTAGCCAGTGAGTTGGTCTACCCTCCTTAGCAGATTCCGACTTCCATGACCATTACCCGACTGTCTAGATGAAATAGTATCTTTTCTGGTATCTGATGAGTGTATATTTGGAACCTCAACTCTGCATTTAGTTCATCTCACATTGCCCATGCTGTTTGTCTTAAAACTCTTAAAGAAAAGAAAAAAAAAAAAACATTCCGCGATAACATACCTTGAGGACCAGCGCTAGAGAATTTGATCAACAGAACGTGCTCGCAGTATTCACGTCTACTAAAACAATATTCCCACAATTTTTTGGGTAAAAGCCGGGTATTCTCATTTATAACTGGTTTAACTGCTTATTAGTTTATTAAAAAAAAAAAGACTTCAAGTGCGGATCATTTGAACATTCAATATATGCCTTATGACTTAAACCTCAAAACTTAATATTTACAAATTTGATGGAAAACCTATTGTTGTTGTCAACCGGTTCGTAAAATAAAGTAGGCCCGATGGTTTAGTGGTATAATTCTCGCTTAGGGTTTTCTAAGCACGATTGCGAGAGGTCCCGGGTTCAATTCCCGGTTGGGCCCTGCTTTTTTGTTTCTTTGACAAAAAATCCTTTTTTTACATGTAGGCTTGGGTTTCTATATACCTTATCCCAAACATTCAGGTCTTCATTTTGTTAAATAGATAATCAGTTTATTGTCCTTACATCAAATAGTTACCTACAAAATTATAAAATAAAATGACATACAAAGAAGACATGGAATTTCAAAAACATTACATGTGTTAAGGGAAACCTGAGATACATAACACCCAGTAAAACCTTAACAAGCTGCTTAATCAAGCGAACCATCAGCAAAGAAGTTGCGGTAATGAATCTAAGAACTTGACTACCGCTCCAAGGCCCTTCTTGGTATCAAGAAGGATCTTAGGATCAAGCTCCGGGGAAACTTTCCTCAACAAGTCTCTCTCTGCAGGGTGCAGAGGACACTCCTTGAGGACGT